TGCCAACAAGACCGGTGACAACAAGACCGGTGCCAACAAGACCGGTGCCAACAAGACCGGTGCCAACACGACCGGTGCCAACAAGACCGGTGCCAACAAGACCGGTGCCAACAAGACCGGTGCCAACAAGACCGGTGCCAACAAGACCGGTGACAACAAGACCGGTGCCAACAAGACCGATGCCAACAAGACCGGTGCCAACAAGACCGATGACAACAAGACCGGTGCCAACAAGACCGGTGACAACAAGACCGGTGCCAACAAGACCGGTGACAACAAGACCGGTGCCAACAAGACCGGTGACAACGAGACCGGTGCCAACAAGGCATTTGACTAAGTCCGGCGGTAAGTGAAGCTTTTTGGCTAAGGTCTTACCATGTTTAACCTAACCAGGCCAATCTTAAATGGCGCTACGATTCGCCTTGTGTGTGTTTACGTGCGTGCGTGTGTGTGTGTGCGTGTATACAAAGTATGTTTATCAATACAGTCATTTCTTTGGGAGGAGGTTGCCTATATTCAGAATTTGCCCAGGGCGCAGCTTTTGCTTGCTACCGTCCTTTGCTTCCGCGGCTGTAAACGTAGCCTGTCAATATTGATGTGTGTTTGTGTGTATATATATGTTATTATGTGTTGCTTATGGTTGAAACGAGATGAAAGACTTTGACTTGGTATGCTCTTATGTAGTTTTATATTGTTGCGTCTGTTTTTTAAATGTCGTAAATTTTAGATTGTTTTTATTTCTCTTTATAATATGGTTGACTTTGTACCGTGCTTCGAGCTTTAATAAACTTTCTTATTATTATTATTATTATTATTATTATTATTTATATATTTGATACAAGATCAATTTCATTTGCCAGATTTCAGGACCGATACAATCTTTAGTGTTTCCATATTTAATCCTCGTCTCCTTTACTTTCGTCTTTCTCCGGATTTCTCCACAAGTTCCTGATGATTCCCCGATTCCCATTGGCTGGCCGGGGGCCCATATATATATTGGAGTGGGTCTGGTGGTCCTACTCCAGGATCATACGCTTTGTCATTTCTCTTGATTTTCATATGTTGACAAGGCTAATGGATTCTTGTTCCGATCATTTGACATTTGAGCAGTAGGCAGGAGCAGGCCTTATTTATGAATTATTGATTCAAAGGAAGAAGCTATTGTAGGTAGAATGAATTTTGAATTTTTATCGTAGTAAAGGCTTATTTGACTAACCCTATTTTGAAAGACTGTCCTACTATATGGAGCAGAAACTTGGAAAACAACGGCGAGCATTACGCAGAAAGTACATACATTAATAAACACATGCCTTAGAAAGATCTTGAACATCAAATGGCCAAATATTATCACCAACAAAGATCTACAAGAAAAGACTCACCAGGTGCCCATCGATGAAGACATCTTAAAGAAAAGATGGAGATGGATAGGACATACTCTCCCAAAAACCTCCAGATGCACCACCAGACAATTCCTAACATTGAATCCACAGGGAAAAGGAAAGAGAGAAAAGACAAAGAATACATGAAGACGCGAGCAGGAGGCAGAAGCGCAAAATATGGGATACACCTGGAAACAACTGGAAAGGAAAGCACAGGACTGTGATGAGTGGATAATTCGTGTGGATGTTCATTGCTCCAGACTGGTTTAAAAGGCATTAGAAGAAGATTTTGAAAATGACCAGGCTGACAGCCTCGGAATTTCCCTCACTCGTAAACACTAGCGGCAGTTTCAATATGGATCCTTTGATAATGTATCAGATTGCTACGATTTACACAATTATGTGTGTGCATTACCCGCCAACTTACTTTTAAAAACTTTTCTCTAAGCCACACTCTTTGCCATGTTTGTCTCATTTTTATGAGCTTTTTAGCTATAAAATAAAAAAAAATTATTCCGATTTTAAAACGGTTCTTACCATTATAATCATATAGATAGAAATACAAGAAATCAGAATTAGACTAGTCGGTGAGATTCGACTGAAACCGTCGCGGAGAGTCACGTTATAGATATGAGAATGGGGAAAACACGCCAGCCCCATTAACACTAAACTTTGCTGTCATGTAGCGGGCCGCAAAATATCGTATTGCTTATCACAAATGGCCCTCCGGCCGCGAGTTTGAGACCCCTATATTAGATGTTTATTTATTAATATCACGATTATCTCATTTTTATAAAAAGAATGTAAATATTGATACTTTTTCCCATCATTTTCGATGTATGCAGAATGTATGCGGGAACGAATTTTAAAATATCTAAATATTCCATTTTCGCTTCGGCAGAAAGTCTCTTTAAGCTTTCGGTTTCGAGTAATTTTTTAACATTCGGTGTATTTTCGGTTTCGACCAAAAGTCATTTTTAACTTTCGGCCTAGTTTCGGTTGAAATCAGAATATCCCGCGATCGGTCTCTACAGTTACACATGCTGAGAGATCATCAGCTCTATAGTTACCCATGCTGAGTGATTATCAACTCTATAGTTACACATGCTGAGAGATTATCAACAATATAGTTACCTGTGCTGAGAGATCATCAACTCTATAGTTACCCGTGCTGAGAGATCATCAACTCTACAGTTGCCTGTGCTGAGAGATCATCAACTCTATAGTTACCTGTGCTGAGAGATCATCAACTATATAGTTACCCATACTGAGAGATCATCAACTCTATAGTTACCCGTGCTGAGAGATCATCAACTCTATAGTTACCAATACTGAGAGATCATCAACTCTATAGTTACCCATACTGAGAGATCATCAACTCTATAGTTACCCATACTGAGAGATCATCAACTCTATAGTTACCTGTGCTGAGAGATCATCAACTCTATAGTTACCCATACTGAGAGATCATCAACTCTATAGTTACCCATACTGAGAGATCATCAACTCTATAGTTACCCGTGCTGAGAGATCATCAACTCTATAGTTACCCATACTGAGAGATCATCAACTCTATAGTTACCCATACTGAGAGATCATCAACTCTATAGTTACCCATACTGAGAGATCATCAACTCTATAGTTACCCATACTGAGAGATCATCAACTCTATAGTTACCCATACTGAGAGATCATCAATTCTATAGTTACCGGTGCTGAGAGATCATCAACTCTATAGTTACCTGTGCTGAGAGATCATCAACTCTATAGTTACCCATGCTGAGAGATCATCAATTCTATAGTTACCGGTGCTGAGAGATCATCAACTCTATAGTTACCTGTGCTGAGAGATCATCAACTCTATAGTCACCCATACTGAGAGCTCATCAACTCTATAGTTACCCATACTGAGAGATCATCAACTCTATAGTCTATAGTTACCCGAGCTGAGAGCTCAGCAACTGTTCAGTTATCTGTTTTGAGGTATCATCTCCTCATCCCTGAATAGTTGAACAGGAAAACCACATACAGGTCTTAAGTCAAAGTCAATCTTGACATGAAAATTAAACATGGCGGCAAGGACTGGTCAACTATCAATCTTAAAGGCCTCTCAGGGAACAATTTCACCCAATGTACTGACTATTCAAAAACAGTTATGTTGCTTGTTTGTTTTAAATGTAAACTTTATGTGATCAACAGGTCATAAACAAAATTATAACGGTGGATACTCAATCAATTAGTTTTCAAAAATAGTTCTGTGTGCTTAAACAGACAAAGCTTATGCAAAAAAAAAAACCAAAAAAACTCTCACATACTTTAAGCTGTTTGCTAACTTATTTATACACTTGAATAAAGCTTTTATTCAGGTTTACATTCTGCATCCAGGTTTACACTCGACATTCAGGTTTATACTAGGCATCCAGGTTAAGCTGATCCTGTATGTTAAGGTCAATTAGTGGCCAATGAACTTAAATCTAGTTTGGGGAAATTTCGAGGTTGTTAAAGAAAGATGAGCTGTTCATCATTTCACAAGAAAACATAATTTGCTTAAAGTTTGTCACCAGGCGCAGGAAATTGCAGTAAAATGTACCATTACACAACACAGGAATATATACGCTATATTATACATTCAGCCATTTATCCTTTTTAAACATGCTAACGTAACTCAACTCATGACACATTATTGTTTTTTTTTTACAGTTATGTTTATTTTAGAAAAAAAAATATTAAGAATTACATAGTTCAGTAACTTACAATCAATCAAAATTTTTTAAACAATTTTTTGATAGTATGTAAGATAATCTGAGGGATTTTAACTTCACCGGATTGATGTGAGTTATTTGGATATAAAGTCTATGGATAGTTTTATAATTATAGTTTCAATAATAATACTCAACCATTTTCAAGTTTCTCAGAATAAACTTGCGTTTACTTGTGGGATGATTCTAGTCTTTCACCAGACTGATGATACAGTCAGTAGTGCACACACAAAAACACCCAATTTTGAATTCTCTGAAACTCAAGTTGATCTGAGTTTGAATACACTGCTATCAACTATGAACAATTTAAGCTCTTTATTCAGGAAAACTGCTCTTTATGAAGCTAATATTTAAGGAAGCATCCTAATCAATACCACTGTACCAGGTGCACAATGTTTGGGAAGCCCTGCCCACATTTCTCAATGCAAGGTCAGACTGCTGTACATGGCAAACTACACTTTCCATCTTTGGACTTTAAAAAAAAAAAGTTCTGTTACTCTGAACAAAAACCAATGTGAAGAGATTGCAGTGTAAGGAATGTATGGAAGGATCATTTATGAAATAGTTAAATGATACTACCTATAAAAAAATCTGAAATACACGCTAATTGTTATATGAATCTAAAACTTTTTTAATAAAACAGCACTGACATGAACTAATAAAATGCCAAGTTCATTATTGAAGTTACCAGAAGCTCCTTTTAACCAGGGGCCACCAACTTATAGTCTGACAAAACTTTGAATTTCTAATATTAAATAACATGGATGGACGGAAATATCTGAGTTCTCTCAAAATGTATAATAATTTGGGGGATAGAATGTTGGTGCTATTAGAATTTCTTAATTTTTAAAACAACATTTCAGTCACAAATTTAAAACAAGGAAAAACTCATTAGATTCAAAGTAATTATGGAATTAAAACAGCCGCTTATCATCAACAAAGATGCCCCTGGTAATGTTAATAAAAGGCGGCATATTTCTGCCGGTAACTTTACATTTTACAGCAAACCTCAACATTTTACAGTAGATTTCGTTGCAAGTTTTTCCTGCACATGATCATAAAATCAGACAAGAACTATGGACTTTTCTCCTGTTCACTACAGTTAAAACCAAACACTTCAGGTCTAATTACCAAGCCAAAATAAAATTCAGCAAGTAACCACCGGTAATTTCTGAAATTGTTTCATACATTTACATACAAGTAATATAAAATCAACAAATATACAGAAGAGAACAAAAAAAATGTAAACAGGCGATGGTATGAAATGTAAGACTTGCTACTTGAAATTAAACTTGACCTTTACCAAGTACTTCATCCTGATCTGTCTGGTATCGTATACAATAAATTCATTGTAGTTCAAGGTGTTGGCTGTGGCACTGCCTACGTCAATACCTTTCCCAACTGGAACAGTGAGGCCATCAGGACTGTTGATAGGAACATATGTTTTATTTATTCACTTGTCAGCTTTACACAAATAGGCCTACAAACCAAATTAGTAAAATTAAAATTCTAAAAAGCAATCTGGAAAAGAAAGGTGTCAGCTTTAGTTTTGTATTTTAGTGATTTTGTAAATAAAAAGATTTTACTTACAGTGTGACGTATGTTTTTGGATCAGGTGCCACCCTCCCCACCCCTTTCACGCTGTGTTTGCCTTTTGGTAATTTTGCAGCAGTGTAGTCAGCTGCAAGTTTGTCATTTGTTGTTCCAAGTGAGACCTTGGTTTTTAAAAAAGAGGAGAAAAAGAAATTGAATTACTAAGAAGACAACAAGAGACCTGTTAACATTCAATCTTACCAACATAAGGAAATGAGTAATTGCCAATAATATCTTTTCTTTTGTTGTTTTTCTTTTCTTTTTTTGAATTGAAATTAGGCGAACTTTATTTATATTTTAAAATTACTTTGAGATGACAGATTTAAAAAAAATAAAATGGTTTTTTTGGGCTTTCATTATAAATTAGTCTTTTTCGGCAGCTGTAAACAAAAAAAAATTCAGCTAAACTGCATTTTTTTTTGTTGTGTTGTTCCAGGTGCCCCTGGTGCATGCTGGTTAGCATCGACACCAATCTGGTTTATCCCACAAAAGACCACTGATGTGGATGGACAGATCCAGTATACTGATGTCCATCCACATCAGTCGTAATACACAGATCCAGTATACTGATGTCCATCCACATCAGTTGTAATACAGAGATCAAGTATACACATGTCATGTCCATCCACATCAGTCATAATACACAGATCCGGTATACTCATGTGTATTACTGACAAGACCCTCTCATTCGGTTGAGTTTGATTCAAAAGAAATGTTCTTTCATCCCTTTCATTTGATTTCATAATTCTTAAAATGTCCAGAATTAATTTTTTGCTTTGAAACCGTTTTTTGTCATCTAAGCCAAAAGTGAACAACAAATACTTACATCACAAAGAAGAAGGAGTCCAGTATTTTTAGTTTTGGTTGCAAAACAATAGTTGGCACTTTTACTAGACATATCAGCAAAGTACACACCTTTACCAAACTGGAAATGACAAATGAATATATTTATATGAATAACTATTTTCACAAAATATCAGAATGGAAAAATATTGTCACATACTGGGGATGTCACAAATTATAAAATTATCTGTTGTAAGGGTCTGTACAGTCAAGTCGAGCTTCTGTTCATAGTTGATGGATATTTCATAGAACCAAAAATGCTGGATCTAATTATAATAAGACTGTTGATGAAAAAAGTTTTTAACACGGTGTCTGTATTTTAGTTTTGTCCTACTTAGCCACTCACCATGTAGCCAGTAACAGGTGCTTCTGGAGGGGCTATTCTAAGGCCTTGGCCTAGGATGCCAGCCCAGTTGGTCAGCCTTGACCCATGCCATAACAGCATCCTATAAATATAAAAAATGTAACTTAAGTTGACCTAAGAAACAAATTCATTCACATGCAAAGAAATAATTTAGGTTTTGGTTTTTCTTCTGATAGCATTTAACATGGAAATTAACTAATAACACTTTTTTAAATATTTGAAATGCCAAACATTCTGTGGCCTACTAAAATACACAAAAAAATATAAATATGTCTCATTTTAAAAGCAAATCTGAGGATTTTTCCCTTTAACTATAAATACAAACTATAAATTCTATTATTATGTCAAATTTATTTCTTTTTTTAAATGCAGCCTTTTTTTAAAATGCATGTTCATGTTCTACATTTTAGCTACAACTGAGGTTAACTGACCTATTGCCATAGTCTATAAATGTCTCGTCTTGATCCTCCTTGTCACACTTGAACAAATCCAACAACTCGAGCTTGTACTGATTGTGTGTAGAAGCATGCGTCTGCTCCAGGTATTTTTTCACCAGCTTTGAGGTTTAAAATTAAAATGTAAAGATTAACCTCACACGAATTCTAGATCAAATTTTTTGTTGGTTCATGTAGAAGATAAAAAAAATTGCATGTGGCTGGGTAGTTAAGTCACATTTGACAACAGTTTGTGAGTTTAAGCTCAAATCCTAGTCAGGACCATGATGTTCCCTTTTGTAGAATGCATCACTTTTATGCACACTGATTTTTAATTTTAATCTCCTGTTTTATGATACATAAAAGTTGAAGTCATCAAATTACAGATTCATCTGCAAAACAGCCATTCTGAATTTTACAGTGTCAACCAGCCAAATTTATTGATGCCACCCTAGTTCATAATGGGTATATGCTGCTAAAATATGGCTATGGCAATAGAGTGAATCTTTTAATATACTTTTATTTGGATAGTTCTGTTAATATGGCTAATAACAAATTAATAGAGAAAAAAATTGTGTTAATTGTTTTGCCATGAACAATATTTTTATAAGAGTCCATTTCAATACCTTAAATTCATCTGCTGTGTGATTTACAGGTTCCAATCCACAGTGAAGTTGGTGATAATGCCTGTCAATTGGATTCTCAGTCATGTCACCACCTTTGAGCATCTTGATAGCAATCTCTATATCTTCTAAGGCCTAATAAGAAAAAAAGGTTAACTTTACAAAGTGAAAAGTTTAAATAAGTGAGGCTTAGAGATGTTAAAAAAACAGCAAGGACCATTAATGTAAAAATATATATTCAAAATCCTTTTTGTAAAATATTCTTTTATGGTATATTGGTACTTAAATTTTTGAGACTTTAAATACATTTGATTGATGAGCTATTTTAAAAAAAAATTATATCCACCCTTATTATTCAGTTATTTAAAAGTTCCTACTAAAGACAATAACATAGGTACCCGGTGATTGAAACTATATCACCTTCCTTCCATTCCCAAGTATGAATATACTGTTTAACTGGTACTCACTTCAAGTAGCTCAATCTTTTGTTTTACCATCTGTGGTGTTCTGATTAAAGGTGGAGTCTGCATTCTGAATTATAAAAAAATGACATCAGAATATACTGAGATTTTATTTATAATATGAAAACCTTTGATTTCAATTTAAAATTTTTGTTAAAAATATCTTCTTCGTTGATTGAGTAAAAAATATTGCGAGCATTTATTGAGTAAGGTACTACTGCACCAGCAAAGCTTTCCATTACTAATTAAGACACTTTAAAATATACAAATCCCTACCAATTTTAAAACTAAGATATTTAACCAAATGATCCCACTCATAACAAGCTTAACTCAGCATCATGCCTAATTATAACTAAGGTTTTAAAATCATACATAAGTAATGTTTGAATAGCTTAACCCCCTAAAATTTTGTGTCTGCACCCAAAAAGTAAATGCTACTTCATAGCCCAAACAAGATTTACTACACATTTGATCATTATTAAAAAATTATATCTATTAATGTTATAACTGAAATTTATCAAATCTAATAAATGTTTTATTTCTCTACCTTGATTTCATGGTTGAAATGAGAGAATTTTTTCAATCAAATAAGATTTGGATGGTCATGGACTACTTATTACAAACAAATTTACATGGTGAATAGCGATTTCAGGAAAAATGTCTGTTTTATAGTTCGAAACATACCCAAATTCATGAGGAATTCTGGTGTAGAACTCACTGCAAGCATCTGATAGGTTTCGACCAAAGTCTTTCTTCTCTATCAAACCTTCAATCTCTTTGAGGGCAGAATAGCCAGCTTTGATCTGTGCTTTTGTTAGTTTGCCTGGCATGATACAAAATATTTCCAAGTTAACAAATAGGGCTGTACTGGTAAGCAAAGTGGCAAATTGCACTTTAATCATCCTTTCTACATTGACAGGCATAGATTTCTAAAAATTAACTGACACCAATTAATTAACAAAAAGGCCAATTAGGCCTATTACTTGCCAATTAATCAGTGCCACATTATTTACAACAACAAAAAAGATGCTAACTAAATATGTACGTTAGGAAATGGCGTCAACGAGCCGTTGAGCCAAAGATCTGAATGTCTTCCCAAAGCAACGCCCGCCCCCCACCCCACATCAAGAGCCGGAATAGTCCACTATCGGGCTATGAAGTGTCATGTTGGAGAACTCCTCCTGCTAGGACAGCCCATGCTCATAACTTCACTTGATTGACAACTTTACAAGGTCATCTCAGCCCAAGCATATTCTGTCAGGCAATGCTATTGCTCTCACAAAACCAGCAATGGCCTTGGCATGGTGCATTTAAATTCTAATATCTCACCCTACCCATCACAGGGAAGCGTCGGACACCCTGCAATAGGGTTTTCTGCAGTGGGTTTCTACCTTGTAAATAGTTCACGAAGTAGCTGGGACGAAACGGTTGCCTAGGAACAGCCTCTTCGAGGACTGTGTGTATAGATTCTTTAGCATGAGGTTGCCCAGACCTATCATTGCTAACTCAATATATTGATTATTACATGCTTCAATTAATAGGAATGAGTAGTTAAAAAATAAAGTAAGATATTTTATCACAAAACACACCCAAAAAAAATTAAGATATCTAATATTATCACAACACAAACTCAATGAAATTCATCATGGTTGACAACATCAAGAGCTCCTGTGGTCATTACAATGAGACCTTTAACCCAGTCGTCCCTGCAATATCAATCACTGCTTTAACTGACAATTGTTGGAGGCAGTGTCAAAGGATTATGCTAACATAACCTTTTGTAACATCATGTTAGACATTTAATTGTCAACATCATTATTAGCTGTACAGCACAGACCAATTGATGTTTTAAAATGTACTTAAGACTTGATGTACCTAATGGAGCCTTCTTTGCATCATATTTCATCTCTATCACAGCATCTTCCATAGACTTAACATCACAAATCAGCTGGATTAGATCCTTGGAAGAAAAAAAGTATGATTTCTTTTAAGTTATGATAAAAATATGTTTATAAATAACATTGCTATAGGCACATTTACTTTGGACATAACTAACTCACTGTTGTCAAGTGACTGCCATTCACACTCAAGGACTACACTACTGTATCTACCTGCACTTTTTGGTCAAGTTTAGAGTCTGGAGCTTGAGTCTCTTCAGTGCCTTCTTCCTTGACTTTAGGGGCATCAACTTGATCTTGGCCCTAATAGTTCATTACAGCAAGAAAAACGGTTATCAGATTTTATAGTTTTTAAATTAGTTTAACTTATAGTCTTGTTGAGACAACTGTGTTTGGTTTTATTTAATATCAAGTTAAATTTCATACAATGAGAGTACAATGAGTTCATGAATAGAATATCTGAAAAAGACAATTAAAGACAAATTCTTATTCTATGATGGTTACAAACGACATAAAATACTGAACGGACAAAGCAATTTTATGAAAGCTACAGTTAAAAACTTTGATATGTTGTCTTTTAATACATATTTTCAATACTACAAAATGAGAAAATGGCGGCACAGACAACATTTACCTCTGCTGAGTAGTCCATCTTAAGTAAGTCATATTTTCCAGGTACTTTATCAAAAGAATCTTTACAGCTCCAGTCATTTCCTGTTTTGTCTTTAAACCTAAAATAAGGAAGTTCAAAAAGTATTTACTGTAAAATTTCTGTAAACTAACTTTCAGCTCCATATTCTTTATAAGAGCCAAAGCCAATTTAGAGACACTGAGAAATAATCCCAACATTACACTGGAATGGTAAAAAAGAACTATTGTGATAAGGTAATCAAAAAAGAGAGGTGGAACTCAAGATGATATTTCTTACTTTTTGATGAAGACTTTCATGGCTGCCTCTAGATCAGTCCCACAGTTGACCAAATTGGTCTGACCGTTGTAACCGACTCTCCCCCATCTCTGCCAGACATGGTAGGAATTTTTGACAGAGTCTTGGAGCAGTTGAATCAAATAGTATTTGTTGTTGTTATTTGAAATATTGGTCTGCAACAAAAAGTTATTCAACTTTAGTAAAACCATAAAAGAAAAGTTATAAAATAAAATGTGTGAATCTAAATATTCTACAACAAATTTCTCTTTAACCAGACAATTTATTACATACATTTAAAATGTCATTAATGATTATTTTCTTTACTTTTCATGTAAAAGAAAACATACTGAGTTGAATAATGATGGAATATATAAGAATTTAACATAAATATATTAATGATGATGCTGATAGTTTTTTAAGTTATTACCTGATTTAACATGCAATCCCAAATTATTCTGTTAGATTCATGTACTGAAGAGCTACTTGCTATAGGGCAAAGATCATCTACAGGTGCACTCCCCTTTTTCACCACCACGGTTTTCACTAAATATTTAAAAATTAAACATTAATAAAATTAATTAATATTTACGCATAAAAAGTGATTTCCTGAAACATTCACCCGAAAAAGAGTGTCCTCAATTCAACCAAGACTAGAAATTTATTAGCTTCCCAGTTTTATTAAAGCTATAAAGATCAGTTTAACTGGTCAAACAAAATTTAAGAACTTCAAATAAAAAAAAAAACATGTTGGACCTGAATGAATGCATGAAAGACTTCTGGTATAAAAATCAGTTTATCCGTATAGTATTTTTTTAATGAAGAAAGTGTTAAATTAATTTTACCATTTTTTTTTTTTGGATCACTTCCACTTCCTTTTGCAGCACTGCTACCACTTTTTCCTTTTCTTCCCCTTCCGCTCTTAGGTAAAAAAGAGTGTACTCAATTCAAACAAGACTAGAAATTTATTAGCTTCCCAGTTTTATTAAAGCTATAAAGATCAGTTTAACTGGTCAAACAAAATTTAAGAACTTCAAATAAAAAAAAAAAACATGTTGGACCTGAATGAATGCATGAAAGACTTCTGGTATAAAAATCAGTTTATCCGTATAGTATTTTTTTAATGAAGAAAGTGTTAAATTAATTTTACCAGTTGATTTGGTTGGATCCCTTCCACTTCCTTTTGCAGCACTGCTACCACTTTTGCCTTTTCTTCCCCTTCCGCTCTTAGGTTTTGGAACATCTTCTTTCTCTTCCTCATTGATTTCTTCTTGTAAAAAAAAAGAGTCATACGATCAGTTTAACTGGTCAAAAAAAATTTAAGAACTTCAAATTAAAAAAAAAAACATGTTGGACCTGAATGAATGCATGAAAGACTTCTGGTATAAAAATCAGTTTATCTGTATAGCATTTGGATGTGTGTGTGCCTACTAAATTAATGTGTTCATTTTTCTTTTCTTGAAGAAAAGTCTTTTGCTACCAAAAAAAAAAATAATTTTTTTTTAATGAAGAAAGTGTTAAATTAATTTTACCAGTTGATTTGGTTGGATCCCTTCCACTTCCATTTGCAGCACTGCTACCACTTTTGCCTTTTCTTCCCCTTCCGCTCTTAGGTTTTGGAACATCTTCTTCCTCTTCCTCATTGATTTCTTCTTTTGTAGCTGACGCATTCTCATTCTGAACATCAACTTCAACTTCATAGTCTGAGGGAGTTTCACTTTCTAAAAATAGATTAACTTTCTATTATGACTTTATTTTTGTGGGAGTCTTTTGAAAAATTAAAAAATGTCAGGTGGCACTGGACAGGACACCTTGAGAAAATGCCGGATTGTGGAGCAGCAAAAGTGATATGCAGGAAGAAACCAAGGGGGCAGATGGCTCCCAGGATTGACAATGTAGAGAATGACTTACATCAGCTGGGGGTTATGATTTTGGGAAACGCAAAGCCATGGACTGCTATGAATGGAAGGATGAGATGAAGCAGGCCATGGCTTTAAGTGCCAGTGGTGACGAGGACTGCTATGAATGGAAGGATGAGATGAAGCAGGCCATGGCTTTAAGTGCCAGTGGTGACGAGGACTGCTATGAATGGAAGGATGAGATGAAGCAGGCCATGGCTTTAAGTGCCAGTGGTGACGAGGACTGCTATGAATGGAAGGATGAGATGAAGCAGGCCATGGCTTTAAGTGCCAGTGGTGACGAGGACTGCTATGAATGGAAGGATGAGATGAAGCAGGCCATGGCTTTAAGTGCCAGTGGTGACGAGGACGACATCTTTTTTTAAGATGCTTCTTTTTTTTGTTATGTGGCAATTGTAACGGACTATGCTTTCACATGAAAACAGAGAGGTAGCATGAGTGAACAGTGAATGGTGTTGACCATGTTTTGTCCACGGGGACAATGAATTGTATTTTGAGAGGACAATGTGAGCTCCACGTTTTTGGAGAGTAAAATTATGTTTTTGTCAGATCGGTTGTCTTCCACGCTTTGCTGGTAATAAAGTATGAGTTGACTGAGATAAGGAGAGCTAGGAGAGCTGTGTGATAAGACAGTTGAGCTGAGTTATAGCAGTGTGAGGACGTGTCTTTCAGAGTGATGGACAAAGCTGAATGACTTATAATGAGTGATAAGGTCAATATATAAGTTAATATTACTTATAATGAGTGATAAGGTCAATATATAAGTTGATATTACTTATAATGAGTGATAAGGTCAATATATAAGTTGATATATTTTTACAAGGTGTACCTTTAATGGTTCGTCTGATAGATCTTGAGAATTTTGTTTTAACATTGGTCTGTGTCATGTTCTTTAGGTCCATTTCAAACGAAGATGGTTTTGAACTGGTTGTCAAAGAGTCTAGGCCGCCCTGGAAAGCTTTTTCCAATTCTACACTAAGTGGAACTGTGTATGGACACCATTGGGTTGTATCATCTTGCCATTCCCACACATAATAATCTGGAAAAATGGTGTAACATTTTTATTTATGCACAACAGTTTAGACTAAAACTTTTATTTATAATTTAGTACAACATAGTAATGAAATGCTTACCTGACTCTTTGTCGTTCTTTACTGCAACTCGAACTTTCCTCTCCCACCCTGTTTTACTGTTCTTTTGTATCATCTTATCAAAAACAACTGTCAATAATGCCCCAGTTGGAACTTTTAATTGTATCTAAAATTAGAAAAAAATAACAAGACATATACAAATAATTCAATTTTCAATTTATGTCATGTTAATAAAGTCTGAAATCTTAAAACTCAAAAAGTCCAAATTTGCAACAAATGAAGTCTTAGAATTTTACTAGAAATCTATTATCATTATTATTATTATTATTATTAGTGGTCTTATATAGCGCGACGCGGTACCCCAGCCTAGGGCTGGGCTCACCGTGCTGTACATAAAAATATTATAAAACATAACATGACATTAAAAAATTACATACATTTATTTAATTAAAACACAGCTATATAACAACAAAACAAAAACAAATGTATATTCACACCACCCATCCCAGAACTTTTACATATCAAGCCATTGACAGCAAGCTGCAGCATCATTTATCCGCAATTGAAGGGAATCAGTCAGGATAGTAGAGTTTAAAGAGATGTGTTTTGAGTGCAGTTTTGAAGGCCTATGTGGTCGGTAAATCTTCATGAACAGCAGAAATAAAAATGTTAATGCAGATGCAGGACATCTACTTAAAGGAGAAAAAGCATTACATACCTGTTTCTTGCCAGCATTAAACGCATCACATAAAGATTTGTTTAAACGTTTAGCATAGCGAACCCACTTTGATTTATCCCCTTCCCATTCAAAGCGTACTTCTAAGCCATCAACTTGGGGTTCTTCCAATTTGGTTTTTTTGGAGGCTGGTGCATTAGTTTCTCCAGATTCTAAACAAAAATGCAAATATTAATATATAAATTTATAAGGCTGTCAATTATAAAATTATTGCCAATATTTACAACAGACAATAGCTTACAATATTTTTAGTTTAGTTGTTTTCCATTTTGACTCTAATGAAGACTAAGTCTAATTGGTAAACTACCACTTGAACGTCGGCCAAGAAAAAATCCATTTATTCTGGTTATAAGGGCTATTTAAACAATTATTCGTATTGTTTTTTTATGACATTGCACGTATTCATTCCAGCACATGTATAATACAAATAACACACAACAATTTTTTAAAATAGAAAAACTAAAACAATTTAATTTTTTTTTAAATGGAAGAATTTTAACAATTTAATGTGTGAAAATGAAATTATGCATAGTTCTCCCCCAAGAATACAATGAATTTTATAAAAATATCACTTCCACGAAAACGGTAGCGGAACATGAACTCATGTAAATATAAGGGAAAAAGATCGCAGCTTGTGCCAAACTGTCTTTTCAGTTTTTGCTTCACGCACATCCACATCTTTTCCACATTCTGTGTGTGGACATCAGGGTCATCTGGATCAACAAAATTTTGTTGATGCATCACAATGGAGGGTTCATAATAGTAATGTATACCATTTCTTATTAAGCTTATATTGGCATACGTCGCCCACCCATCTGATACAATCAGTGATCTTGGAGGTATAAACCTTTCCATGCACTCTTGTAATGTTGTTGCACGTCGGTCTGGCTCCCACTCTCTCTTTCCACGCCAAAAACCCAGTGATCCTCTCTCCACAGTCCAAGGTGGTATTTGCTGTGGAAATATTTTGTTTCATCAATTTCAGCTACAATGGATTCTCCTTGATCGTCGAAACCCCCAATTTCAGATGCATTCGCAGCCAGCCAGGTTTCGCACTCCTCCCGCATAAAATTGCACCCACCTGAGACCGTCCTATCCTTAAGCGTATCTGTTTAATGTGCACAGCTCATTGCAGACAACACATTCCATACTGTTTTTTAACAAGCGTTGACGCACACACCATCCTAGTACAAAATTAGGGTCTGACAAATTTGGCGGTAGTGTGGACAGCCACCATACTTCTTTGTTTTGTATCTGATCAGTATCCAACACTTCGTGCATCAGCACTATTGTAGTCTCTCCTCTTTTTCTTCCTGTCATATCAGTAGCTTAGTAGTAATAATTATTTAAATGTATTCTGCTAAATAACTTTATATGAAAGAGGAACCATTAAACGGACACCAGTATAAGAATAATTGTTTAAATGTTTAAATAGCCCTTCACACCGGAAACAACTGGATTTTTTCTTGGTTGACACTCAAGTGGTAGATTACCATCTAATTTAAAGTCTAAGGATGATGGACAGAGCTGGTCATTACCAGCTGATTTCAACATATGTATGACTCTTTGATTTCCTCACCGCCTTCTACACCACCCCCACCCCCCACAACTTGAATAAGTCAGTGATGCCATGCCATAATAAGGACTCATACTCATAGTAAAGTAGTCATAGACATAGTTAAGGCATAAAGCTCTCTCGACTAATTTGGAGAGATTGTACCTGGACGTCATTTGTGTGTCTTGTCCCTAGTTCTGATAGGGTCAAAACCCTGGTTAGGGATAAGTTTAGGGTTCAGGATAGGTTTAGATTTAGGGTTCAGGTTAGGTTTAGGGATACATTTAGGACATAAATTCGCGGGTCGCTTCAACCAAGATGGCGGCCATGGTACTATCTCTCCTAATTTACCGCTCACTCTTAGTCTTTATTTTCTTAGTCTTATTTACAAACTTTAAGACTTATTATTAGTATTAGCCTAATTAATAGTAATAAAATATATTTATATAACTATTATTTAACTATATTATATATAGGCCTACTATACAATAGTCTAACTTATATAATATATCAGATATAAATATAAGCCTGGGATAGGCATGTTACTTACTATTTAATTAGTTTTAAGTTTTAGGCCTACTATTACTAGTTAGTACTATTATTATTATAAAGTATTACTTTGTATTACTAATTTTACTAACATTATTTAATTAATTAAATTTATGTTAACCATTTCAAGACAAATTTGATTTATTTGAAATTGAAATGTCAAATGCCAAAAAACTACAACTACAAACAATAATTATAATTTAAATCATTATATTTGTATGCGGTTATCGCGTCACTGATTTAATTACATTAATCGGCTAATATTAAGGACGGTGCCACGGCGTCTTTTGTGTGTTTATTATAGTTGCTTGAGGGATCGATTAATTTAGGCCAATTTAGGGTCGGGGATCTATTTAGGGCTCAGGTTAGGCATACGGATCGATTTAGGGTTCAGGTTAGGCATAGGGATCGATTTAGGGATACATTCGTGAAATTCGATAAAATAGTGGCAGTCGTCCTTAAAATTTACCCACATTAATTCTACAAACTACTGAACTGAAACTGATTTATTTAACTCCATAACTTTATAATAATTAGACTATTATAACAAATCTTTACCTTTACTTTTGGTCTTTCGTGTTTTCGCCATCCTGAGTAATATAATTATCTCACTCACTCAAAGTTATGATTAAAATCTTGCTGATGTATGCTAATAATTGTGTAACTTACACCAACTTATGGGATTTCTACTTAGTGCTTAGTCTTGGTTTATTAAGTTAAGTTACGCGGGGCGGAAACTTGTTGCGTTTCGTTTTTTAAAAAAAAAACGCTACTCTATTATAATAGATTCGTTTATTTTTGGAAACTTAGTAGCCCCACTTTATGGAATCTCAATCTATGTATTCATAGACACATTCAACTTCTAATATAAGCTCACGTTTTTTTTCCTAATTTTTGTAGGCTCCATATAGTTATTGTAAAATCTAAGGCATTAAAAATTTCTTGGTAAAATGCAGCGGAAAAGATGTCAAAGGTTTGAGAAAACTAAGAATTTAAGACGCCTGAATTGTTTCCGCGAAGCAAAAGCCAATTTAAATGTTCTGTTAGACTACTGGGGAGGGGGGGGGGTTAAATTATAGTACACTTTTTAAAAATTTTAACTATAAATCATGCAAAATCAATACTATTCTCAACCAATTTTTTTTTTTGAAAAGGCAGTTTATAATTCAGTATGATTTTCAAAAAGAGTACTTTAAAAGCAAGTTCTGCTTTAACTTCAAATGATTATCTCAAACTCAGTCATGCTACGGCAGTTCTAAGACCAATTTACCTCGTAGGCCAGGTATACACATTATATATGAAATCCAATCATGCACTTTTAAGGACCGGCGTCAATCTAGGGCGAGAAAAATTCAATACGCATGATGACATTTGACGAATAACGTTAACGTAACGTGCATTATTTTAGTTTCAGGTGTATGCAAGTAGTAGACCTACTTCACCATGCGAATAGCACAACTGAAAAATGTAGTAATGATATTATTAATGTGGAATTTTTTCTTAATATTTAAATAAGAACGTTTCAGCTTATAATTAGACTAGTATACAAACTCAGGGGGCAAATGCATCAAGCCATCCTTCACACGCCACCCAATGTTTAGCTCGCTTTTTTCAGTTAGCCACTTTATTTGAAAATCAAACACGGTGAAGTCAAATGGAAGATTGCACAATATGCAGTGAGGACATATGGACTTATTGGTGTAACTTGCAATATGGGAGGAGGCTCGTATTACAAACAAAGGTGTTTTTCATTGTGCATTGATGTGTCCGTGACAGTTGTCTCGTAACATTTTACGAGACAATTCTTCACATGTGAAAATCAAATCCAGAGTCTCCCAACATATTTAGCCCCATCTGAACACCCAAGTAAAGAAAGTTTAATGCACCCCTCCCCATTTTTTTAGTGAAAGAGGGCTATCTTTAGTAAGACTGCATTTCATTAATTAGATATAACATTCCCCCCCCCCCTCGAAATTTGGCGTTTTAGGATAAAATTACAATAAATGTAGTGGCGTAGGAAGGTGATGTGGGGGCAGAGGGTTGGACCGCCCCGGGGGGCACATTTTTCCTTTCTATGCTGGGGCAGAACTTTTTTGTGGAATGGGGCGCCAAAAATCTTTTTCCACCAAGAGTTGCACTAACCCTTGCTACGCCTTTGGAAGGGTGGAATATACAGTGGAACCTCTCATAACGAGTTTAATTCGTTCCAGACTCTTACTCGTTAAGCGAAACACTCGTTAAAGGAAACAATTTTTCCCATACAAATCAATGTAAAATACGATAATGCGTTCCATGCTGAAAAAAATACTAATTTTTCAAACATTTTTATTAACATTTATTCAAATAAAATTACTTATGAATTGTTAAGGAGTGTAACAACTTGGACTACAATTTAGATTTTAAACAAAAAACCTAAATAAAAATATGAATTTAGGACAAATAATTAATCCTTTTTCCATAGAAAACTCTCTAAAGACATTTGTTTTTGCCGACGCTTCAAAATTTGACGGAAAATGTGTCACAGCATTATCATGGAATAAATTTGTAGCAGGAATAGCCACGCTCACACCTTGTTTTCGCTTTTCAATGATTTTACGTTTCATTTCAACAGTTATTTTTTTCTCTTTTATGATTGTCTTCTTGTGTTGTTGTTGGTTTTTTTTTCGAAGACATTTTAGCATAGGTTATTACACTTTGCACATAAAAAAATTACGAATACTGTCTGAATACAAAATGTGTAAAAACTGGTGATCACACACGAAAACAATACGCTAACAGACCGAGTGCTAAACGCAGACTTATGCAATGGTTCTAAACCTTCCTAGTGCCGCGACCCTTTAATACAGTTTCTCGTGTCTTGGCGACCCCCCCCCCTCCAGCAACCTAATTATTTTCGTTGCTACTTCATAGCTGTAAGAATATGTGTTTTCAGATAGTCTAAGGTGACCCCTGGGAAAGGGCCGCGCTACCCCCCAAAGGGGTCACGACCCACAGATTGAGAACCGCTGGACTAATGCCTCGGCGCGGAAGCCCCGGCTCACAAATGAATGTCATTACAAGGGGACGTCCCCTTTCTGCGTAACTCGTTATGCGAAATATCGCTCGTTAAGGGAGCAACTTCTTCACATTTTTTTTTTGCTCGTTATGCGAATTACTCGTTATGAGAGGTTCCACTGTATTTGTATTCCAAAAAGGAAAAACAATAAAAATCAAGCTTCAGTTCTGTCTAACATTGTCGTAGTTCTCTCTCTCTCTCTCTCTCTCTCTCTCTCTCTCGCTCTCTCTCCCCACGCCCACCACTTTTCCCATAATCATTGAATTGTCACCATTGAATAGATGTACCGGGGTAATTCGTTTAGTTTTAGATTTTCAGTTTTTTATAAAAAATAACACTGTCAGGACAGATGAGACGGATTCTCGGGAAATAAATCATTGAGATCTATTTCCAAGTTCTAATTAATAGAAGACATCTGGCCCTAACAGCCTGTTACATGAATCTCGAACCAAGTGGCTCGGCTATGCGATCGGCTGGTTGCTCACTAATCTTATTTACTATTCGTGCTCGACAAGCGAGGAAATTGCATCGCCGCGCCCCCTTGCGGCGTGGGACATAATCTGTCAAGCCGGCGATTCAGACGCTTCATCCAGTTAGGTCCTGTCAATCGTTTCTTATCCACCCCCTCCCATCTCTTGAACTTGAACCCAGTGTTTCTCAAACGTTTTCTACCCATCGTCCCCGCCTTGGATGTTGAAGGTTAATTCAACCACCTTCCAGCAGATATATTACCCCAGCGCCAGTGGCGTAGCGAGGGTGTTTGGCGCCCGGGGACAAGATTCGCGCCCGGGGACAAGATCCAATTTTAGCGCCCCTTTTTCTTTTTTTCAACTCTCAAACCCATTATTTTCATCAATAAAATAATATCAAAGCACATTTTGGCGCCCCTAACTAGCTGGCGCCCGGGGACATCTGTCCCCCCTGCCCCCACCACGCTACGCCTCTGCCCAGCGCCCCATTCCCTGTGCTCACGTGATCCTGTAGATGTATCTACAGTCATTTATGAGACTGCTATAAAATAATTGTTGCGACGCATAATAAACATTCGTGGACATCGTGAACATACTAAATAATCATTCTCAAATGTGTCAATTTTTCACAGCTGAAACAATGGATGGGCGACATGGGTGGCCGCCCCTTGGAAGGGGTGCCAGGGAATTCTTTATGCTTTCTCCTTTCGGTCCAGGGGGCGAAAAAAGACAGGGTGACGAAAATGATAGTTTCGGCTCTTAAATTGTAATCCTTTAAAAAAAACACACACATTTCACCAACAAGGCAACATATTTAATTAAAGCCTAAAGATGATTAAAGTCGAATGTGCGCCAATTTAATTAGTTGTTCGAGGACCCAAAAATAGCAGCGGCAATTTAAAATGTAGACTTCGTGGAGTACCTCAAGAGGATGGCACATTGAAGGTGCACGTGGTATGCCACCAAAAACTAAGGTGGGATGCCAATCAAGCAACTACCAGTAATATAATTGTCAGTTATTAAAAAAAATGTATTTGATACTTTTATTATTGTTTTTATCAATTTGACAAATTTAACAACCGTTTCGAACGGGACCGATCTGGACCCAGCACAGCGGTGAACCAAGGTTAAGACGGACTTACGTTGGAGGGGCAGATGTAGCCTACATGGCTCCATTCATGGAGACGAAAAGCAAAGTATTGTTCTGAATGGGGAGTATGTATGTGATGGTTCATGGTAGATACATCGTAAATATCCCAAAACATCGTTTCGTTAAATTTGTTTTGAATCGGTTAAAATGTATTAACCTTAACATTTTCAATACAAATGGCCCCACCCCCCTTTTTTTAAAAAAGTCCCACCACCTGCTTCTATTTTCAGCCCCCCCCCCTCGGTCTTCACCCCACTAGAATAATCCATAGAACCCTGAGTGGATGCTAAAGAAAACTTTGAGAACCACTGCTCTAAGCACAGCTTTTCTTCTAAGTGTTCAATTGCATCCCTTTTCTTCATTCCTGAAACAGTTTCGAGTTCGCTCCCATATTTTTCACTTTCATTGCCTTTTTTTTTTGGTGTTACTAAATATTTAAAAAAAAATATTTTAGTTAATGACTTGAAAAATTTTCTGGTCACTGTTTTGATTTTAGATTTGATTTTAATTTTCTTTTTGTGTTATTCAAAACAAGGAATTCAATTAATTGAAAGGTAAATATAATGCGATGTGTATAATATCAACTCATGTGTTTGATTTGTTTAGTTTTTTAATATTTTGAAAGTTGTCAATGTTTTTTTTAATAATCAACAAAATATATTCGAATATTCTAATTTTAAGAATACAATGATTCTATAACAATGTTACTTTAAAAAAAAAAAACACAATATATTGGCTGTATTAATCGATCTAAAAACAAATTGATTAAAAAATTCATAGAATCATCATAACAAATTATGTTCCGATTTTAATCCCTTTTTCTTTTGTTTAAATTATGAAGCATTGCACAAAAATTATTTTAAAAAATATAGCCTACAATACAAATAAAAATAGAATAAGTTTTTAAAGAGTTTTGTGTTGTTGTTTTGTCTGTGTGTATTGAGTATTGGATATTGAAACGAATTTACACCATACCTAACCACGATGACCAAGCAAAGTGGCTCTCTTTTTTGACGCATTGGAGACAAACGGGCATGTTTTCCGGCCATTTGCAGTGATGGGAGCAGTACACAAATCTACCCAGTACTGTCC